TCATACACACTGCCACCAGATGAAAACGCATCCCACTGAGTGGGAAAAACGGCCCCCAAAAGGCCTCCCGTTCTGTGATTCCTTCCCGTGAAATGTCCAGGAGAGGCAGACCCAGCGACGGGACGGAGACATGGCTGAGGCCCGAGCGGCCGCTGAAGGGCCCGGTCTCCTCGGGGGGATGGAAATGTTCTCTATTAGACCGGAGAGCGCACAACTTCACTAGTACGCTAAGTCAGAGGATTGCACACTTTCGACGGGTAGATTGTATGGTGTGACTTATCCCTCAGTGAAGACGTTAAAGAACACACACCTCTCACTGCCCACCCGTGCCCTCCCCACCCACAACCCGGCTCAGCGGCCCATGCCCCCCAGCCAGGCCCCCAGGGCCGAGGGAGGCGCCCAGGCTGCGCTCCAGGCCCCCTGCAGGGAGATCTTCCACTCACTCACTCACTCACTCACTCACTCGTTCCCCGAATGTGCACGGAGCTCCTACTCGGCATGAGAAGTGCTCCGGGCCTCCAGGGAGGGCACAGCGGGGTGGGCACAGCGGAGAGACGTGAGGAGATCCTTCTCGGGGTGGGTGCTCACAGAAGGTGCCCGCCAGGGGAAGGCACAGAGAAGTGGCAGACGGGTCTGCCGTCTCACCCACACAGAGCGGGTGGGGCTGGGACAGGAAACCACGTCTCTGTCCCGGGCTGGTATCTGGGGCGCAGGCGGGGGTCAGACTCCCTGTCCCACGCACTCACCCACCCAGACGGCTCCAGCCGTCTCCACTGAATATGGGAACCCACCAGAGAGGGGAGAGCTGTTTCCCCAGGCCCCCAACCCCTGCAGCCCTCCAAGTTAGCTTTTGGTAACTCCCACCCCAGCTTAACTTGGGTTTGGTGACCTCAAGGGGTGCGGGGTAGAACTGCCCTTCCCCTCATTCTCAAGGGACAGGTAACAACTCAGAGCATAGTGCTTCCGAGCCCCCACTTCACAGAGGAGAGCTCCGTGCAGGGCCGGTGTCATGAACTTTCCAGAAACCTCACCCCTAGACAACCACAGCGGCTCCCCCCAACACCAGCCAGGGCAGGGGGGACCCACCCCACCCCACCCCTTCCTCCTGCTTCCGGGCAAGCACAGGCTGGTGCCACCTCCCAGCTCTGGCTTCTGCGTCCCAGACCAAGCTGCAGTTTCCAGGTGGCTGAAGTGAGGCCCAGAGAGGTTAAGCGGCTGGCTCACGAACACAGCGGCAGGGCCGAGAGTTTTCTCCACCTAAACCCCGGAACACAGAACCCACGTGAGGCACAGAGACGGGGGTTCAAACCTGGCTGTCACTCACCAGCCTGTGGCTTAACGTCCCTGGGCTTGGCTTCCTCCGGGGTGAGGGGCTCATGGCACCTGCCTCCGGGCTACACAACCCAACACCGGGTGGCGGGTGGCGGGTGGCGGGTGGCGAGAAGCTGCCGGCCAGGCCCTCTGCGGTCACTGTGAAAGCAGACAGGCTCGGCATTCCTTTCAAAAGCCCCCGACGCTGACCTTTACGAAGGGGTTGCTCGGGAGATGGCCCAGCCTTTGGGGCCAAACAACCCCAGTTCCAACCCCAGCTCCAACCCCAGCTCTGCTACTTTACTAACGGGGGCTTTGGCAAGCTGCCCGTCTCCCGGTGCCTCAGTCTCTTCAAGTGCAGAGTGGGGTGAGAGTGTAGTCGTGGGGACCGCGGGGGACGGTGCAGGAGAAGCCCAGCGCCGCGTGCCAGGCCGTGCTGTGACTTCTGGTACTGCTACTGATGCTTCCGAGAGGCCGCGCTCCCGCGTGCCGGGGTCACGGCAGGGGCGCGATCACAGCATAATCACAACCCTGCCTGTACCCCACATGCCACACACCAGCCCTCCGAGGGCAGTCATCAGGCTGAATTACGCCCCACGTCTCCGCCCAGCCCCCGGAACAGGCCACGGGCAGACGCCAGAGATTGTCTCTGATCAGGGGACCTCACTCTCCTCCTCCACCTGTCTGTAGGTGCCGTGGGGGCACCTTGACATTCTCAAGTTCCCCGGTTCCAAGCAGGGACACCCAGCGCTGGGTGGTGCATTGGCGACTCTGTGCACCTTCAGGGACCCAGGCCTCCTCCCACATCCACAGGACTGGACTGAACTCACCTCGTCGGCAGGGGTGTCTAGACTCTGCCCGGGACACAGACCCAACAAGAGCTCCCATGGCTATGCCACCAACAGACCGGAACCCACGGCCAGGCCGAAGAGCCCCGAGCCAGCGCTGTCTCCCCAGGACAAAGGCCTTGCAGAGGTCACATCCGCCCGCGTCTGGGCCAAGCAGCAGGAGGTGCTTCCCGGGCCAGGACACCTGTACCCCTCCTACTGCTCCCTTCTCCCAGCCCACGGCTCGTTCCCCCAACTCATTTGTCACTTCTTGGAGCGCAGGGACACTCTGCCCCCGCCGGGCAGCGAACACCCTCAGCTCTTGACAGAAACGGTCTCCGCTACTCTTTAACAACAGATGCACCGGCCGCCTCCCAGGGGAGGAGGAGGAATTCAGAGGCGGGGAGTCTGGCCCCTCGGCCGCCACCCGTGTCCTCCTCCCCACCCCGCACCAGCGGGCACTATGGAAACGCTCAAGTCCCCGCCTTGGCCACTAGGCAGGAGCCCCCCAACCCAGACACACGGAGGACCAGGCACCTGAGACGAGGGAAATCGGCCTAGCTCCCCAAGGAGGGCAATGCCCCCCAAACAGCTCCTGGCTGGAGCAAGGCCAGTCCAGGATGGGAACTCCATTCCCTCACACAGCTTGGCTAGATCAGCGGCCGCAGGGAAACCCCCAAACCACGAAGCAGAAGGAGCTGGAAGGGGTTCACTGGGGCCCATGAGATGCCAGGGTACCCATGGCACAGCCACTAACATGGGCCACACTGTGGACAAGTCAGGGGCCCCCTTTCTTTGGTCACATGGGTGCCATCGAGACGCGGCCTGGGTGTGGTGCCGCCGCCTGTCACACTGGGGCACGGTCAGTCTGTTACACAGGGCAATGGGCTCAGGCCCGCAGCCGCCCCTGGCAGCCGGCACTGGAATCTAACACTCGCTCCCCCTGAGCCTGACCACTCTTCTGACCTACCCCACAGCACGCACGGTGATTCGGGAAAACGGCCTGACCCTCCTCCTGGCTCCTGGCTGAAGGGGGGCCCGGGAGAGGGAGGAAAGCGGAGGTCACAGGCGCTGGCGACCGATACCCCCCCTCCAGGATGACGTCGGCAGAGTGGAGGGTTCAGAGAGGGGCCTGGCAGGCCAGCAGTTTGGAGACAGACAACCTGGTTCTTCCTTCATGAGGGCCCCCGCCCACGCTGGGAAAGACCGAGCCACGGCCAGGGCCGAGCTGACCACGGCTGAGAGTCCCCACGCGCGTCGAGGAAACGCCTTTCCTGAGTGCAGGCGAGCAGACATCACGGGGCAGACATGCCCGTGCCCAAGCCGCCCTGCTGGGACTGCCGAGGTCCCACAACCCATCAGCCAGGGCGGATAAAGGACCCCCACCGCCCCATCCCCAGGTGTAAGCCAGCAACCCCAGCACTGTCCAGACTGGGGTGGCGGGGGGCAGCAGCGGGGTTCACAGCCCCTGACCCAGCATCACACCTGCTGCAGAAGCGTCAACTTCATGCTGTAGGCAGGGAGGCCCCTTACCCGGGCCAGGCAGAGGGTTTTCAGGGGAGTCTGCAGTAGGAAGGAGGAGCAGGTTTAGTGAGGCCCCCCATCCAAGGTGTCCCCGATACCAACTGTGGGATGTGGGCAGGGGCAAGAATGGAACACACTCACCCAGCCAGACTGCGTGTCCACTGCCTCGGAGGAGCAGAGTCACAGAAACAATGGCTGCCCAGGGGCAAAGGGCACTTCCAACCTGGCCAGGGTGTTTGATCCCTGCCCTGGGTGTTCCCAGTGAGTGGGAACCTGTATCACCTCATCTAAACCTCTCATCAGGCCCCCTTCCCGCTTCCTGGGGGAAACTGAGGTACAGGGCAGCTCAATGCCTTCTTGCCCAAGGTCAGAGCAGGTGCCGAAGAGGCCAAGCCTCCCAATTCCTCTCTTAACTACAGCCCAGCCCTGCCCTTGGGTCCTGGGAGGCACCGCTGGAAAACAACCCCCGGGGCTGGACTGGCGGGTGTGGGAGAGGCTCCGAACTCCGGATCTGCTGCCCCACCCACACCAGGAAGGCAAGGAGGGAACCCCATGCTGCAAAAGGTGTCCCTCAAACACAATCGACCCTGCCTCTGGAAAGGAAGGGCTGCTGGATGGACCCAGTTTCCAGGGGGTTCCCCCAACCAGGGCTCCAGCCCTGGGGATTGCTGCTCCTCTTGCCACAGAGCCTGGGGGGGGGGGGGGGGTGCGCGCCCACCCATCTCTGGCTCTCCTCTCCCTGACAGGGCCGGCTCTGGGCAGGTGAGGGCACAGGGTCAGGGCGCAGGCTGGGGCTACCGCTGCAGCCCACCCCAGCTCCTGCACACAGGCCTGGGCCCGGCAAGCCCCACTAGCAAAACCGCCCCAAACAAAGGGAGAGGAGGCTGCACACAGAGGGGTGCAGGGAGTGGGCGAAGGCCCACAACTTTTTGGCGGGGTCGTCTCAGAGGTCGCAGGGCCCGGAGGCTCCCTCCTCTGCTGGGCCCTCAGAGTGGGTCGGGAAGGCGACATGCCCGAGCCCACGCCCCCGTCTGGCTTCGGCGACCCCTCGCCCCTCAACCACCACCCGGCCAGGATCCCGCGCCCCCGCAACGTCTTCCGTCCCTGGTGGGCCCGGCAGAGCGCAGACCGGGAGGCGCCGGGACGCGCGCCCAGCCCGTGCGGACCCGGGGGCGTGTGTGCGGGGCGCGCCCGCGCGGGGCCCTGGTCGCAGGCCGCGGCTCTGGGCGCGGGGGAGAACGTGGCCGAGCGCGTCGGGTCGCGGCCCGGCTGCCCAGGGCCGGGAGCGTGTCCGCCTCTCCGTCGAGGTCCGTGTGGGCGTCCGCGCGCGCCGCTTACCCTGAGCGGAGATCGGGGCCAACTCTCATCCACTCGCCGTCGCGGCGCCCCCCTCACCGGCCAGCCGGCCGCGCTGCACCTGCCGCCCGCCCGGGAGCCCAGCGGCGCCGGGGAGCGCGGAGGAGGCGGCCCCGCGGGTCCCGGCCACGAGCGCGGAGGCGGCGGCGCCAGGTCGCGCGCTCGCGTCCCGCTGCGCGGAGTCTGCGCGCCCCCGGCCCGGCCTGCGCAGCCGCCGCCCCGCCCCGCGCGCCGCCACCTGCCCCCCAGCGCGCCGCACAGCCCCGCCCACGCCGCGCCTTAAAGGAGCCGCCCCACCCCGTGCACCGCCCCCACCCCCTCCCCTCCCAGCGCGGCCGGCTCCGGGACCCGCGGGGGCGCGCCTACCCTAGAGGTTCCGCGCGCTCGCGCAGGTGCGGTCACGCGGCGTAGCCTTTGTTTGGGTGGCCCACGTGCGTCCCCGCCACTCGCACCCACGTGCACGCGCGGCGGCTCCAGCCGGCCTGCCTGCCATTCGCGGTCACCGCCACGCGGTCCCGCGCTTCCAGCTCGGCCGAGGCCTCAGGCACAGCCACGCACAAGCACGCACGCGGCCCGCCCGCTGGACACCCCATCCGAGGCGCCGGGACCACAGCTGCTTGGCAGTGGTCGTATGGGAGGGCGAAGATTCGGGAATGAGCTCAGTGCCCGCCAAGGGGGCCAGGGACCTCAGGGGTCAGGGACGCCTGGCCAGGCCTGCTATGGTCCACCCGGTGGCCAGGGGTGGAGACATTCAGACAGCCTGGGATCCTTGCTGCGACTGTGCCCGGAGCACCGACCTCCAGTGGGACTAGTTGGTCCCCCAAGCCCCGCTCACCTCTGGGCCCGCAAGGAAGCCAGGGTTCTCACTGAGAGTCCGCACCCCACCCCTAACTTCGCAGGGAAGCGGGTGGGACCTGCACAGTCCTCACCTTGCCCCCTGCCCCCAGCTTCTCCGGCTGCCCACCTTCTGCGGGGTCACCTCCAGGCACACCGGGCCTGCTCCTGCTTCAGGCTGTGCTGCTCCCTGAGTGACCTCTCTCCGCTCCAAGGTCCACACAGCTCCACTCTCACCCTCCTTTCTCTTGAGGTCCACCCTGACCAATCCGCCCCAAAATTGCTCGATACCGCCCTGGCCCGTGCGCTCCGTGGTTAGAGCGTTGGCCCATGCACCAAAGGGTCCCAGGTTCGATCTCGATCAAAGGCACGTACCTTGGTTGCAGGTTAGATCCTGCAGGCAGGCAGGCAATGTGTCCTCTCGCATAGATGGCTCTCTCCCCCCGCCCTCCCCCTACTCTCTGAAAAATCAATGGAAAAAAATCTCAGGTGAGGATTAACAACAACAACAAAAATTGCTCCATATCCACCCCTCCTCCCCTCCTCTCTGGCTTTATTTTTCTTCCTGGCACCGAGACTTCATCATACCCTGTGGTAGGCAGAATCAAGTCCCCCCAAGATGTCCATGCCCTGATCGCCAGACCCTGGGAGTATGTTACCTTACTTGACAGACGGGACTTGGCAGATGTGACTGGGTTGAGGACCTAGACATGGAAGGTTATCCTAGGTTGTCCAGCTGGGTCCAATGTCATCATAAAGATCCCCCATGTCATTACCAAGGGAGGCAGGAGGGGCAGCATTTGAGATGTGGCTGTGGAACCGGAGGTCAGACAGAGCTAGAGCTGAAGAGGCTGCACTGCTGGCCTTGAACCTGGAGGAAGAGGCTACAAGCCAAGGCCTCTAGAAGCTGGAGAAGATGGGAAATGAATTCCCCTCAAGAATGTCCAGAAGGCACTAGCCCTGCTAACCCGACTCCAGGATTTCGACCTCCGGAGCTGTAAGAGAATAAAGGTGTTATTTCACAGCACGATGTTTGTGACAATTCATGACGGTAGGAAACGCACACGTTCTTTCTAATGCTCTAATTTATTCTGCGCATTTTCTGTCTCCCAACTGGCACCTCAGCTCCCTGGGGCAGGAGCAGTTCCTGCCTCCTTCCTGCCGGCTCCTCAGCACCGAGAGCAGTGCCTTGCCCCGGGTTGCATGCAGACATGTCAAATGCCCGTTTCTAACCTCAGGGCCTTTGCACAGGCTGCGGACCCTGCCTGGAGTGCTCTCCCTCACCCTTCACTGGAGCCAGCTGGGCACCTGAATAGCCAGCCTGGGCTCTCTGCCTCCTTCCATCCCAGCACCAAGACCAGTGGGGTGGCCTTCACCTCTAAACCTGTCTCTCCCACCAACCCATATTCTGCCTGAGGGCAGGGGCCACATTTGACCCCAGCCCACATTTGATCCAGCGTCCCAGCCCAGGGCCACAGCAAGTACTCAGTATACTGTCCGCTCTGTAAACCCAGGGACAGTGGTTCTTCTCTGGCCATCTCACCACTTTCTGCTCTTCTCGGGCACACCCATGCTTAAGTGCCCCCTCTTCCAGGAAGCCTTCCCAGACCGCCCCTTTCCTCTGAGCTCCCATAGAGCCGTTCTGTCCATCCTAGACTCAGAAGAGTCTGTCTGTCCACAGGCCCCTCCCAGCCAGGGCCCACTGCCAGGGGGGCCTCCTCATTCATCCTGGGCCTGGACCACCGCCTCTCTTCCTCCCCTTCCTCTTGTCTCCCCCACCCGCCACCCCACCCTTTGGACTTGGGCACTGGCCTCAGAGCTGTTGCCCCACCGTGGATTCTGAGCACTGGCCACAGCCCTTAGACCTCTCAGGGACCTGCTCTCTCCCCACCAGCTGCAGGCCCAGGCTGTTCCCACCTTTGGCCACCCCACCTAACCCCTGAGCCTCGGTCCCCTTGTCTGTGGAGTGAAGAGGTGAGATGCCCACCACTGGGCTGGGGCTGTGGTCTGTCCCAGGGCCCGCGCGGTTCTCACAGAGGAGGTGGCGCAGCCTGTAGGGGAGGCCAAGGGCACGCAGGGCTCTGGAGTAGGGCCAGTGCCTGCCCGCTGTCAGGGCGGAGGCCTGCTGGTCCTCTGCGTCCGTGTAAACTGGCACGCCTGCACTCCACGACCTGGGAGCACCTGGCACACGGTAGGCACTCAGCAAACGTGCTACTACTGAGAGACCGAAGGACACCCAGAAACATCATCCCCATATTTCCTTGGCGTTAAAATGCCATCGGAAAGATGTTCCAAGTCAAGAACAGCTTTTCAGGAAAAACCGAGCCACCCACCGCTGCCTCGGCCGCTCTCCGTGCTGCAGGTGCATCCGCTTCTCAGGAAGGGTGAGGTGGAACAGGTGAGCGCCTCCTGGTGGAGGAGGCATGGAGCCGAGGGCCTTCCCCGCTGTGGCCGGGGAGGCTGTGCTCTCTGCAGAGTGGGACTCCTCGGCAGGGCTCAGCTGGGCTCCAGGGAGGCCGCAGAGCACAGACCCCTACCCTGCAGGTCTGGGGCAGGGGCTTGGGGCGCAAACTTTCCCTTCTGGCTTCTGAGCCTGGCGGAGTACGCCACCTCGTGGCCACAGGCAGAAGTGCAGGGGCCTTCACCACAGCCCCTGGGCCAGCCCTTTGAAGACTTTCCAGTCCCTGCCCCCTGCCCAATCCTGGTGCCCTGGCAGGCCAGGTGCGGGCACCACTTAGGTCCACGTGGGCGGGATCCCCTTCCTTAGCAGACCTGCCTCTGCTCCCCTGGGGAGGGGACCGGGACCTGGCCACTGCTGGCCTGGATCCAGGCTCTGGGTCTTACCTGCTGTGACCCCGTGAGTCCCTCCACCTCTCTTCAGTTTCCCTAGTTTGCAGAGTGCAGGGCGGGGACCTCCTTCCCTCTCACCCCTCACCCGCTCCACAGCCATGCAGAGGCAGCCAGCGGTCAGACCTGGCCCTCATTGACCTTATGGTGGGCAGAAGGCCTGTGTGGCCCCCCTGCCCACGTGGTCAGCGGGGCTGGGGGAGCAAAGGACTGGCTGCCCAGCCCGGGGCTGGGGCTGTTGGAGGAGGGCGGGCCTGGCAGGGGCCAGAGGGAGGATGTCATGGGGGTGGACAGCTCTCTGTGTCCTTGGGCCCCAGGGTCTGAGTGGGTGTGGTGTGGTGGGTGAGGGGAAGACGGGGGCTGGTGAGCCGAGGTGGCGGGGTGGGGGAGCCCAGAGGGTTGTGACAGCAGGCTGGACACCGCACACAAGTTATGATAGAAAAAGAGAGTAAGACAGAGGACTGTGATCCCATGGACCAGCTCTGCCCAATAGAACTTTCTAGAGTGATGGAAATACCCTATACCTTTGCAGCCCAATGCAGTAGCCCCACAAGGTTGCTGAGCGCTTGAAATGTGGTTGGTGCCCACGAGAAACGGAGCGTGTGATTGTTTCATGTTAATCAGCTCAGGTATAATGGCCGCAGGTGGCGGTGGTCCTGCGGTGTGGACAGCTCGCCACGGAAGCGGCCGCGCGTCAGACAGACTTGCCCGCCAAACGCGTGAGGCCGGAGGCATGAAGGAAATCCTAGGAATCACGAAAGAACCACATGATTCAGAATTAGAAAAACTCTGAAAATAGAGGAAAGGAAATTTCAGAGTGGCAGGGATCAGGGAATAACTGCAGAGAAAAACAAAACTCACCCCAGAAACGAGGACAGAGCTGAAGGGGACACAGGAAGGGACAGACACACAGACAACGCCTCAAGGTCAACAGAGGATGGAAGACAGGAGATGTTCTTTAAGCAGAAAGAAATGAGAGATAACAAGGATGGCGAGAGGGCAGGACTCGTGCAGAAGGACGGGGAAGCTCCCCCATACGGCTCATCAGAGCGAATTTTAAAACGAACAAACCACCTCCAAGTCACGTCCTGGAAGAGCAGATGCCACGGGAGGGACACGGGCCTCGAATGACAAACGCTGAGACAGAGGTATGTGAAACTATTGAACTTTAAAGGAAAAGAAAAGAAGCCCTTTGGACACCCTCGTTTAAAAAAGAAAAATCTCACAAGAAAAAATACCAGACAGTCGACCGCGGCTTCTCACCAGAAGACACATGCCGAACAGCCAAGAAAAGACCATGCGAGCCCAGGATGTCCCGCCGGGCAGAGCGACCCCAAGGCTGTGGGG